TATTGCTCGCCTTTTCTCCCCTTAAGATTACATTCAGTTTTGTTTTGCGCTTAGTTCATAACAAAACCAATTCCATTCACATCAAAATCTTTATCATCTTAACCTTCATCATCTATATCAAGTTGTTCATCATTATTCCCGGTCATGAAAATAAAAACTATATTTGTACATCTAAATTGATCTCAATTGTGTCTAACAAGTAGCTAAGATCATCCCATTGAGACTGAGAATAAGTAATTACATAATAATTGAAGAATGTTCAATATCCAAATAATCAGTGCAATCACGAACAATTTGTTTATCTCAATTTACCCGAGAAGTCAATTTCCTTCCCTGTTATCCCTGAATAAAGCATCAGAACCAAAATATTGAAATATTTCAATTCTTTAGGTTTCACCTGATTAATTCAATAAACCATTCTTCATTTTAAAATCAATCAGTACCAGTGTTTGGATAAATAAAGTTTACTTTCCCTAAACTTTTCACTTTTTTATTTGAATAATATTATGATCGTAAAGTTTTGTCTTTACATTTGGAGGTTTCACCGAATCGTTGATTCGAGCTTCACAATCTTGCTCAACGATCTGTTGATTGATGCTCGAAAGGATACTTTCATTTCAAACCTTATAAACTGTATCTATTGATGCACCAAAGCATTGAATTAGGTCTGAATAAGGAATGAATTTTTTTCGAAATTAAACAAAATAAAAAATAGTTTTTCTTTGTGATAAAAGTCAAATTTCCACAAATTTTGTTACAATGTAAGCTTGATTGAATTGTTGCTATTGATTTGATTTTAGATTCATGTGGAAACATTTACAAATAATGTTCATTGGAAACCTCGAATCATGCATTCTCATAATTCGTGATAATTGGATCGATTTCTTGGCTAATCTTTATTTAATACAACACGATTAATCTTGTGAAATTGGAAACAATTTATGAATTCCCATGAACATCTTGTCCCTTGTTAACAGTCTAATCGAGTTAAAAGAATCTAAAAACAAGTGCGAAACGGTTGGCCAGAGTAAACACTTGAACTGGTTTCTGTGTTGTTTGATTGTTGTTTTAATAACTGATGAAGCAACAATCAATGATGAGCCATCTATTGATACAGCTTTTGACGGTGAAGATGAACCAGATTGATGATGAAGCAAAAGTTGAGTGTTTATTCAATCTTAATCTTATTCACTTTCGATATCAACATTGAGCAACATGGTGTGACATCCTGAATTTGTTAACAGAATTAGTGGCTTCAATGGAAGAATCATGACAAACATACCTTGATAGGAAACGTAAACAATGGTCAAGAGGAATGGGAAAGAATGAAAACAACAACAAAAACTAATGGAGATGAAGGGTGAAACAAGTAAACAATGAAGAAACTCATAATTTCTTTGCCCTTTTCTGGTTCAGAATTAAAGTCTTTTGTTTTCCAGTTTTGCATAATTTTTCTTGTTCTTCTGAGAAAAAATGAAATCCATTAGCGATTGAACAAGATTGAAATACATGTTTAAAGGATAATATTGAATTGTTGTTCAGCTGAATGATACAGAATTGAACCGTGAAATGTGAAAAAGCTTTTTACATGTCATCGTACAAATCCATGTTGAACTTTTTCTCAGGTAAAAGCATATTTGCTTTTCCCATTGATATTGATAAAGATAAACTTACTTTTATCTTGTATTACGCCTTCACTGATCATTTTTATTCTAATGCCTGTGAATACATTTCAAGGTTTATTCAGTGACATTCATCATCCCTTGAAAATGGAAAAACTTTGAATGAAAAAGCCTAAAAGTGACTCTGATTTATCAACCCTTTGCATTCCCTGATCACATTTATATTAATAACTTGCATTTTCTGGTTAACTCAAGTTCAACAAGTTTCCATCTTGGTTTTAGGTTTCTTTCGGGCTCAATAATTAAACCGACATCATTATTTATGTCAGCTTTTGCGGTGAAAACTCAGCTTTCAGTGAATTCTGAGGAATAAATCTCTGTGTTTATAATTAGAATCAAAATTGTATTATATTTCAAAGACAAATAGATTACAGGATTTGATTTTATCTATCCAGTTACAAATAATTTGAGCTTTTGATTGAAATACAAGAGCAAATGATTACTGTTTAACTCATTATATTTTGAAACAGTTCACACTACATACAAATGATTATATACAATGTATAACTCGGAAAATTTCATGTAATTCTATGAAAAAATTCAAAAATTATTCAGTAACTCATTTCGAAATTGGAATGGGATGCCCTGAATACTTTTCTCTTACTTCTCTTGTTAGTTTAATGTTTTCTTTTTTAAAAACATTGAATTAAACTAATAAATTTCAGTTCTATTGCCCTATCCTTACGAGCTTTGATTCCACTACTCGGCTTCCATCGCTTAACTCTCTAACTCTGACTGGTTCTGGTCCTTCAGTGTTTCAAATTAATAAAGTTGATTAAGCTTTAATACAGTGTTGATCACTTTCTCATTGATTTTTGCTTCACATGATTGGTGGATATTGCAGTCGCTCTTCTCAAGTTTATGTGAATTCGCATGAACTTGAGAAGGAAGCAGTTGTTTGAGTTGGTGCTCAAGTCATGGAAAAATATGCAACGAATTTATAATTGGTAAAAATATTTAAATTTTCAATAGGATATGAATAATCCATATAAATTGGATATGGAATGGTAAATTTAACAGAAATTGAATATCTGTTACAACAATAGTGGACAAAAATACGATTAAAGCAATAGGAAATGAAATTGAACTCCAATCAAGCAAGAATAAACTTTCATCTCTTCGATAACCTTTTTCAAACTAAAATTCCGAGACTAATGATTTACTCAAGACTTAAATGCGGTCATGTCTTATTAGCTGAGACTTACTCTGATCGAGGAACACAAGTTCAATGAAAAGATTACTTTTGCTTGTATTTAACTTACTTAAACTCCCCAATTGAAATTCAGATGCTATTCTTATAGTTAATTAATTGATTGAAAAAAGCACAAACACAAATCAAGTTTTTCTGATTGAATTGAATTAGCTTTAATTTATTGATTCTACATTCACATCTTTGAGTGTTTCAGTGGTTCATACTCAAAGCTCATGAAATTTAATTAGCTTTTTTGTGGTTTATGTTAACCAACTTAACAATGTTAATTGAAACAGTTTGTGATTTGAAACGCTAACTTGAGTAACTTTAATGATGAAAAAGAGGCTAAAAATGGTTTAATTTGATCCTTTGGGATAACAACAGTTGAACATCTTGTATTTTCATTTAAATAGAGCAACTAATTTCCCCTGTTAATTTTACTTCAATGATACATATTCATGTTTTTTAAGTTTCCAATTTACATGAAATGCTAAAAAAAGTTTCAAAATATAAGTTTAACCTTAAAACCTTGTAACATTTCAGCGGTTCATCTCAATTTACATTGAGTTAACCAATGGCTAGAAACGGTGGAAATCAGTTTCATTGAAAAAATTCATTAATTATGATCAATAAAGTTATCAACCTTTTTGCCCATTTTAACCTAATTTATCTTTATTTTGCACTTCTTTTAATAACCAATTAACCTTAATTGTTTAATTTTTGCTCAAGTATTCTAGTGATTATCAGATGTTTTTGTTCGCTTTTTTGTTAGTTTGTTGATGAAAGCAATTAATTTGAAAGTTGCTCGATAATAGTTGAGGTTACAATTTAATAATTATAATAATGTTTGAAGCATCCAAGTGAAACAGATGATTACCAAGCTTTTATCGAGTTCATTTTCATGTTAACCACTTTCAACAGGAAAATATGATACTTACAATGTTTGTAATTGTTAGTCGATAATTGATTGTTTTTTAGTTGTGCTATTTAATTGCAATGTGATATTGTTACATTAATTTTAGCAATTTGTGAAACAGTTTGATATCGCCATTTACATCGGTTAATTTGGTGAAATATGAACATTTGGTGAGAACCAGAAAAATGTTCAACTTTTTTTTAAAGTCAAGAATCGATGTTTCATTTTAAATCAATAATTTTGATTAAATTTGATAATTTCAGTGACAGTGAAATGTGTTCAGTTTTTGGGTTAACGTCTTGTAATTGTTTCATTTTAACAAGATTGGAGATTTTTTGTTGACCTTAATGTTTGAACATTAATATTGAATGTAACCTGTCATCATCTTGATTATGATAACATTTTGTTGACAGTTTTTAGTTGACCAATAAATTGTTTGACTTGTTTAAAATGGTAACTACTTGAGTTAAGTGTTGAAGCTATTTCAATCATGAAAATATCCTTCTCTTTGTTTTTCAGTGGAAAAAGCAATTCAATTGAAAACATTAAAAGAGTTGCTTTGTTAACCTTCAATGGTCATTTTAATCTCTCGTCATTAAATGATTGTTTTCATTTGAACTGCTTTCTCTGAATGTAAGGCTGAAAAGAGGCCAAAATTACCCATGAAATGTAAAATTATGTTTTCCACTTTCAGTTGAAATAAAAGTTACATTATATTAATAGCAATTGATTACTGAATTTAATCACATTAATCCTCTGTATTTTAATGACCATTCAAGTCTGACTTTGCTTTCTCCTGAGGCTAAACAGCTTAATTGGTTACAAGTTTCACTCTTTTCTGGTAATTTACAGGGAAAGTAAACTGTAATTAAAAAAGATTACAGTCAATTCATCTGATTATGGCGAGTTTTGTTCAACCGTACATTCAGATGATTAATTTTGGTTGTAACTAAATTTAAGTTGAAATGATTCGATAACAAATGTTGACTGTTGGTAAAATGGAAGAGTGAAATAGAAATATCTTCAGGGTGGAATGAAAAGGAACAAAAAAACCATGGAATCTTTGAAATCTGAAAGCGAATACCAAGTTTCACGATCTTGTTGGGAAAATTGTCTTCATTCTGAAGCTGTTAGATGTTTCTAACTAAATAATTGAATTAACTCATTGGAACTCCGTCCTTTTCTTGTTTCTTTCCTTAATTTTTCACAGGAATATCGAGCTGAAAAACTCCAAGCCGATGTCAGATGACCGGAAAATGTTACGCTCAGAAAATTCATTTTCAACAAAACAACATTCCATGAAGAATAGTTCAATCCAAGAAATGTACTCCAATAAAGCTGATGATGATACTGCAGTTGTTAAGCAGGTAAATCTATCAAAAGAAAAGAAAAGTAAAAAAGAAAGATTAGATTGAGTATAACTGTATATCTGACATTTCTGTTAGTGTTACATAGTATTTCACTGAACCATGAAAATTTCATCCCAACCTTAACCATCCAATAATCTAACAGAATAATATATTGATATGAAGCGTTGAAATTGCTGCCATTTCATTAATACATCTCGATTTTTCTCTCCATCTCGCTGTCACTTTTACTAAAAATGTTGACTCGATATCATTTGCAGGTCATCAAAATGCTCGTTGCTGTTGTAATACTCTTTATATTATGCTGGTCACCTATCTTAATAATCAATGTTTTGACTGCCTTTGGTAAACTTCATCAACTAAACTATGGTTTCCTTAAGCCACTCCGAACTGCAGCTCACCTATTGTCTTACCTCAACTCATGTATAAATCCATTGGTCTATGGATTTATGTCCAAAAATTTTCGAGCTTCCTTCAAAGCAGCCCTTCAAAAATGTTTGGCTTGTCGTTCAAAGGGAAACCAGCGAAGTAATAGTCTATCCTGTCGCATTTCGACCACCGTTCTAACACCAGGTCCGTAAACGCCTAAAATAAAGAGTAAAAAATTGATAAAATGATTCAATCAAAAGTGATATCTAGATCTAAGTTTGAGGGTTTTATAGTGTGGCTTCTGAACCCAAATGCTACAAAAATGTAATATTCAGACATTAAAGGATCTCTAATTATCTTTTGGCTATTTATGTTAGTTGAGAAAGAAAATTATCGATCCAATTATGATGAAAATTTAATATACCTGAGATCAAAATCTAATATTGATTAGCATATTTAAAGTCCATTGTTAAGTTAAAGTTGTTAGTATTTTATGTTGGATAATGGCCATTGTTTATAGTCTTGTTGTGAACGATGAGTCGAAATCCGAGAAGAAATAAGAACACGAAATGAGTTTGGAAAAGCTCAATTGATGTAGCATCTGAGAATTGTTGACTTTAACTGGCTTTAACCAAGATATCAAATCTTTTTTGGCTTCCACTTCCAAATATTTTATAACTTATTTTACTTTTTCTTTGTCTTCCACAGCACCATCTAATTTGCTGACTGAAGTCAACTATTGAAAATTTCAATCGGAATATCGTTCAACCATAATTGTATATGGGAATCTCAACTTCAATTTTCAATGTTCACAACAAAATGAAATAAATAAACAATTTACAACATGAAACCTCCAACAATTATTTCTTTAAAAACTAAATAATCTTTTGATTATATCGTATTAAATGTACTTCGACACAAGCGGGAGGATACCAACGATTCCAACGGAAATTACTACTAGAAGAGTAAATATAAATAGATAAACTCGTAGCTTACTGCAGGGCACAACATGAAGGACCACGTAACAAGAGCTTCACTGAATTAAATTTCACTAGGCAGAAGAAAAAACAATTAGAGAAATTCGCACTAGAAATTTGAGGAATAGTAAATAGTTAAATGATCGGTTGCTAAATAAATTTTAAATTAATAAAACAATGACTGGAAAAAGTAAAAATTTTAGTTAATTAAACATAAATATCGCCATCTGATGTAATAAAAATTGAATCGTTGGGGTTACTTTTTATGCGAAAAACATTCATATTTTCTTCACCCGTTAGATGGCGTGTTGACTTCAATCAAGAAAAGTTAGCAACTTGAAAATCGCGGTTCAGGATACAAGAGTGAGCTTTGTTGTTACCCTAGCAACTTATGCTGTGGCAAGTCATATCCTTTTCCGGAAAATTTTCTTTACCTTTTTTACAGGTTTCTGGTTTAAGAGTATGTTTAACAATTAATCTAAATTGTTTAATTTAATTTGTGAATATCTGTTATTCAACTTAACATTTCTAATTTGTAATAATGGTAAGTAAAATTTTAATCTATCCAGTAGTTAGTTTATCTAATGTTAAGTGAATTTCTTCTTTCCGTTGCTTTCCTTCATCCATCTTTAACACGTTTCTTGCATTTGCAATTTTTGGTTTATTTTTCATTGATTTACTCTTTTTTTTTGTTATTCTAGTCATCCGAAGGAGGTTACACATTGCGAACTCGCAAATTCAAGACCAATCGACTTCTCTGTCGACGTCAGATGGTATGATTATGATTTCAATCTTGTGCAACTTTTATGCCGGTGATATGTAGTGGTTCATTTCTCATGTCTGTGATCTGCAATTTCTTTCCTTAGGTTGTTGATGTTATCCATCCTGGCAAAGCAACCATCGCTAAACAAGAAATTCGTAATAGATTAGCGAAGACTTACAAAACTCAACCCGACTTGATCTTCACTTTTGGGTTAAAAACTCACTTTGGTGGTGACAGGACAACTGGATTTGCCCTTATTTATGACACATTAGATTACGCTAAAAAATTCGAGCCCAAATACCGATTACAGCGTAATGGTTTAACTAAGGTTGAAAGACAACCAAGAAAACAACGTAAAGAAAGAAAGAACAAGATGAAGAAAGTCAGGGGTACTAAAAAGGCTAAAGTTGGTTCAGCTGCATCTAAGAAAGTAAGTTATAATTCTTTATGCTGTTTCATGATTATCGAATCTATGAATCTAATTTCTTTTCATTTCTTTTTCAGTGATTTCGTATTGATAGTGATATTTAAATGGGCTCATTTCATTCATGGTTGCCTTCTGAAGTCTTCTTAAGCTCATCTATGTTTTTTGTGTTTATTTTGATGGATGGATGAAGTTCAATTCATTAAAGAAATGATTTCCCAGTCAATATATATTTACTATTTCTTTATTTAAATTATTTTAATTCGAGTAATTTACAACGCTTGGTATTTACAACGTGTGACTTCATCTTGAAATTATTTCTAATAGATATTTCATTTTGATTTATCAATTGATGCTATCAAGCGTTTCCAATCAAGGGGTTTAGGATCATTTTTTAACGCTGGTATTCTACATATTCTTCTAACTTTGGGAAAAGATAAGAGGTAGTGATGTAGAGTCCCACATGCAGCTGAAGTGGCCCAGTATAGTACACAACCCTGAAAGTATTGAATCACATAATTAGATTACGTTAATCTCAGTTCTTGGTCCTACTTACTGACGGTGTCACTGTGCTTAATCCAAGCAACACAAGAAGCCATCCTTTCAAGAAGTACATGAAATATCTTTCAAATTTAGTTTCAGTAACATTCACTGGTCTGTTTTGATTTTTGATTAGCTCTGTAAACTGAAAAGAAGAATTGGTTATAAATTCGAAAGATAATTTAATGTGCAAAGTTGAAACTTCGATAATATTGTGCGTGGTTTTTCAAAGACTAACCTTTATACTTGAAAATATGGACACAAAAAATAAAATTGGCATCACATAATAAGGATCTGCAATTGTTAAATCTTTGAACCAAGCGGCTCCACCAGTGAAAAATTGATTATGAACTAAAGGATCGTTGAGAAAATAAGGTCTAACACAAAGATTATTGAGCGATGAAGACATAGTTATCCAAAAGGGAAATTGAAAAAAAATTAAAACCACCCTTTGACCCGGATGGACGTTATTATCTAAATAAATTTGCGTCGATTTCTTTTTATAAGCTCTAAAAAGAGTGGCTCGAAACTTTTCCTTCTTTAGCTGTCCACTTTGAACCAGCTTTTTCAATTCTTCAGCTACCTTATCAGTATAGCTTGTGATCTCGGGGCCAACGTTAATTAATTTATGCATAATACGACGATCATAACACATGAACGGAAAAACAATCACAGATCGAAATACAACAGTTGAAACAATGATACTAAGCCACCAAGGCAAACCCGAAGCTTCATGTACCCAAATTAAAGAATCTGTGCACTTCTGCACCGGCCATGATAAAGCAATGGACTCACTTATACTTGTTAATCGCTCACCAAATGAAGCATGCCGAATAGTCAAACTGTTAGTTAATTGTGAGCCATTTAATTGTTGAATACAACCGGCTCCACTTTGTCGCTTCCTAACCGATAAAACGCCAGCAGTAGATGGATTACATTTCAAAGATAAATAATGGACAGAACGAGTTTGTAAGCCACTGACTGAAAAACAATTATAATTATGAGCTAAAGACAATTTAACAAAATATCTAAAAGACATTTAGATTTAACAATAAGACTGGTTTGGTAATACAAAATCAAAACATTGTTGTTATAAAATAACATTTATCGTTAAAAGCGCATGTAGCTCCACATGTGATTTGTTTTGGCGGTTTGGTTGAAAATCATCGTTCACAACTGCTTTCTGGTTTATTTGCCTTTCTATTGATCAGCACTAATTTTAATTATATTTTATGGGTGGCAAGTGAATAATTAGGGAATAGTGAACGATTCGCTTCGTTAAAACATTAAACGAATATTGATCCGGTTATCAACCTGTGACAAACAAATTATTCCATTTATGCGTTGATCGCCAACTGTTTTAAGGTCTAGATTTGCCTTAGAGCTTCAACCCAACAGGTAATATTACCATTCAACAACCTGGTTGTGAACAAAATCCTGAACTTGACATATGATATGCTTCATGTACAATTAATTAAATCAACCTTCTAATGTTATACGAAAATGCTTGACTTTAGCTAATAACAAATGAGTGAATGTTCACAAAGGATTGAATCCAGAAACACTTAACAAAGAAAAAACATTTCCCCAGAAAATGGACTCATATGGACTAACCATTAATATCTAATTGCCAACTGACATGATTATAATATGAATGACCAAAATTAACTCCAGTCCATTAATTTCTTCAATAGTTTGACTAAAAATTAATTCTGGCTTCCTTGTGATTCTAAAGCCAAGTAAATTTATTAAGAGTGAATAGCAGCCAGTGATTAAATCCAATGAGCTAATAACAGCTATAAGTTTAATAACAATACAAATGAAAAGGTGTTCATTACCAGGTTACTCCACTGATTTGTCCAAATAAACGTGTTGATTGTTAAGTGTAATACAATGTGAGTCTCAATCAAAAGTAGATAGCCTTACTCTTTGGTCTCAATTGTTACTTTAATGTTTACTTTGAATCAGGTAAAATTGGTAAGCATTTCATGATGATGATCATCCTCTTCTTCATCATGATCCAATAAAAAGATTTCAAGTAAAGGTTAATAGTGATAAAGATGAAAATCGGTAAATTGTTGTGTATCAAGAAAATAGATTATTGCTATTAACTTTCTTCCTCTCATTATCATTAATATTATCATTAATGTGTTATCATTTTTGGGATAAATCTTTCTTTTCCGTTCCAATATAAAAAGATAAAATGTTTCACCATCTTAAGATTTTATGATTGACTAGTAATCATAATGATGAACCATTAATTTAATGAGTTTTCAAGATTGTTCAACAGCAAACATTCTGTATTGTTCACAATGTGTTTTAGTTCAACTCACATTGACTCCACTTTTGCTACCAACAATTGAATACTTATCACAAAAACCAAATAACTTATTCTTTTGATTGTTGTTTGCTCAATTAATAATGAAAACAATCGCTATTTTAACCCAAAAATTGCATCAAATAATATTCGATCAAATAAATTGAATATAAATAAGTTCAACCAAACTCAGAATATTGATGATCTCGATAAGCTCAAGTTGCAATTTTCGAGTGGCGAACTTGCTAAATTAAGTTTGCCTAAGATTGAAGCAATTAGTCTATTATTTCAATTAATTATCGACTAAACGAAAATCAAGTTACAATCAGTCTCTATTAGTCGCATAGTCAAATTACAATTAGCTGAAGCTCAAGATTTATAACAGCTAATTTGTACATTTCAATGGATCCTCACGCCAAAGTGAATACAGATTTAAGGTGAAGAAACAATTTTGTAGGCTCAAGATTTATGGATTAATCATTGATTCTTTATGATAATTGAATCCTAACCATGTTATCATCAATAGATTACGATTTTGGATGAAAACAACAATTTTCTTGGTTCAATCAAGTGTGGTAACAATTATAGTTTTTAACTCAGTCAACTATAAACTGTAACCGGTTGAAAGGTAAATTAAATAGTCAAGTGGAAGTAAATAGGGTCTTAATAGGAAGAGAAGAAAACTATTTGATGAATCAACAGAATGTAAAAAGCCCTGTAAATACCTAATACTAAACAGGTAACAATCAAAATACAACCTAAGGCAAATTATTAAAAATATAATACAAGCTCATTTCCTTTTCCCATTTTACAGTATTTGTTTCATTCA